ATAGACGAAATCGGGGCGGCTCTCAGGCAGCTTAAGAATGGGTAGGCTCCCGGGGAAGACGGAGTGGCCTCTGAGCTACTTAAGGCCGGTGGAAAACCTGTCCTCGAGGAGCTGAAAAGGCTTTTCAACTCTGTAATAGCCAATGGGACAATCCCGAAGGCGTGGAGCAGAGGTGTAGTGGGATTGTTTTTCTAAAAAGGAGACAAACGCTTTTCAAAAACTATAGGCCGATCACACTTCTGAGCCACGTCTATAAGCTGTTCTCGAAAGTCATCACGAATCGTCTGGCATCAAGATTTGACGCCTTTCAGCCACCGGAACAGGCCGGGTTTCGTAAGGGCTTCAGTACCGTGGACCACATCCATACTGTAAGGCAGGTTATACAGAAGACAGAGGAGTACAACCAACCACTGTGTATGGCTTTTGTGGACTACGAAAAAGCTCCGCTTTGTCGACGACATAGTCATAATGGCCGAATCGCTGCAGGACCTGCAAAAAATGCTATCTAGTCTCAACTCTGCCTCGAGACGTGTTGGACTTGGGATGAACTTGGATAAGACGAAGGTCATGTTCAATCAACACATAATCCCCGAGCCCGTCTCCGTCGAAGGTCCAGAAATATGTGTACCTTGGGCAAACTTTGCAGATGGGAAGAGACAACTTTGAGGCTGAAATCACTAGAAAAGTGCAGCTTGGCTGGGTAGCATTTGGAAAGCTGCGTCACATCCTTGAATCATTCCAGGTCCATGCTTGGTATCTCTATAATGGATAAAGTCCGGAATGAGGCCATCCGAAAGAAGACCAAAGTGACGGACATAGTCTGGAAGTGTAGCAAGCTGAAGTGGCAGTGGGCTGGCCACATTTGTCGTAGAACCGACGGACGGTGGAGTAAGCGAGTTCTCGAGTGGAGCCCACGCCTCGGCAAGCGTAGCGTTGGACGCCCTCCGGCCAGATGGACCGATGACTTAAAAAAGGCGGCTGGTAGCGACTGGATGGCAAAATCGGGAGATCGTGCCTTATGGCGTTCCCTGGGGGAAGCCTACGTCCAGCAGTGGACTGCAATAGGCTGAAATAGATAGAATAGTTACGTATTATGGTGTATTTAAAAAAATATGTGACCGGTGAACACTTTTTATGTCTAGTTTCGGAGATAATGGCGTTTATGATAAACGACATGACAGTCAATAAAAAATAATGAAAAAAAACATTGTATATCTAGTTTTTATGGTATATGAGTTTGAATGTATGTATGGACGACTAGCAAAATACAACGTGTTACAAAACAACCAATAAAGCTGAAAGGGTGTGGAAAGGTCCGTTGCATAGAGTCTATTAACAAAAAATTAGAGCCGTAGTATCGTTTTTGAAAATTACGATAAAAATATGTTTTTATTAAATTTAACTTATTTTTAATCGTGGTATCGCAGTACTAATTTTGACAGCTCAAAGTTCAAATGAAGTTACCGACGCGGCGAAGCGCAGTTTGGTCTACATTGCTGGCTATTACATGACTGTCATCAATACAAGAAACTAAGTCAACCAGCAATGTATGTCGAAGCGGACTTTGTTCGCCAGGTAGTGTAGCACCTGACCTAGACTAGTGATGTGATTATTTCATCGACTGATGATAATTAAAAATATTCTTTTTTTTGGTTAGTTGTGTAACAGGTTGTATACTTTTAATTTGAATAACAAAAACACTAGACATTTTATCGAATGAAAAAATAAAAAATAAATCTCGACTCATTTCAAAAATAACTCAGGTTAACCTATTAATAACACAGGATTTTTCCCCAAAAATATTGACGTTGTGCGAAATATCATAGAAACAGTAAGCCAGCCACGATATCTTTGTATAGAAAAAATGTCGTGAAACAATCTGTTAATGAATTTCAAAAGTAAAAAATAACAGTTTTTATTGTAAAAAGGTGAGAAAATCGACTTATTTGAAAACTGGCGAATTTTGCCATTTGTATGATGGGAAGTCGTCCACATAAACGCCATTATCTCCGAAACCAGACATAGAAAGTGTTCACCCGTCACATATTATTTTTTTAAATACACCATAATACGTAACATATCAAAAAAATAGAAAAATTCACGCATTTTTTTTCTACCCCCATTTCGTGCGGTGTACTTAACTTTTTAATAAAAATATGTTTGTTTTTGCCTATATCTTTTTATCTGTTAGACTTAGCTAGTATACATGTATGAATGAAATTTGGGAAATAATATTTTCTTTATTCTTTTCATACATACTTTTGTCATAAAATCAATTGTTAACAAGTTATTAGCAAAAAACCTGTTTTTAGAACTTTCAATTCAAGATGGCGGCTGGAGCCTGGGAGTCTCGAGGTCGAAAACTTGGGGTTTTATTTGTCCTTGATACCTTTACAAGATTATGCAAAAACATAATCCGCCCCACCTTTTGTAGGCGAAATATCTCTACAGATTGTACTAAAGCTTTTGTCTGTTGTAAAAGATGAGTGTAAGGAGTTTGACACTGAATTCAAAAGACTTGGGTTTTTAGAAAAGCAAGGAACTTATATACCACCAAAACAAGTTGTGATAGGTAATAGAATGTGTAATATCAAAGAGCGTGGGATAGTCAAATATAAATCAGTAGAATGTACAGAGCAGCTAGTACCTCTTCGATTCGTTTTGCAGGCATTTTTCTCACTCAAAGGTGTGATCAAAGAAACCTTAGATTATGTTAACAGTTTGAATTCCAACTGTTTACAAAACTTTGTGCAAGGTAGCTATTGGAGAAATGTCGTTCGTCAATGTGATGATAAATTAGTATTTCCTTTATTCATGTATTTTGACGATTACGAGACAGGAAATGTTCTTGGAACTCATTCCGGCATACACAAATTAGGAGCTGTGTATGTTTCAGTTGCTTGCATGCCTCCGGACCGAACATCTTCGCTAGATAACATATTTATGGCTTTATTATTTCACTCCACAGACAGAATAAATTTTGGAAACAATGTTATATTTGAACCATTGATACAAGAATTTAATTTTTTATCAGAAACTGGTGTGGACATAGATGTACCTGAATATAAAGGCAAATTGTATTTTAGATTAGGGCTAATTCTTGGAGACAACCTTGGGATACACTCGATTGCCGGATTTAATGAAACATTTTCTTCCAACTTTCCTTGCCGTATTTGCAATGTGTCAAAAGAAAATATGAAAAATATGTTATTTGAGAATGTAAATTTGCTTCGTAATCCTGAAAATTATAACGCCCAATTACTACTTAACTCTCCATCTCACACTGGTATCAAAGAAAAATGTGTATGGCTCTCGGTTACTGACTTTAGTTTATTTGACCAACTAGGTGTTGACATAATGCATGATATTTTAGAGGGTGTTGCCAAGTACATCATGTCATTTATTATCGTAAAATATACTAGGGAATTAAAATATTTAACATACAAAACTTTGAGCAACAGAATGGAATATTTTGACTTTGGTCCAGATAGCTCAAGTAGACCATGTCAAATAATGACAAATGATGTTATTCGACTATCAGCTTCCGAAATGTTATCGTTTGTTAGATATTTTAATTTGCTTGTAGGTGATTTTGTCCCAACTGATGACCCTTACTGGACCCTCTACTTAACTTTGCGAAACATAATTAACTTATTAATGAGTACTACATTTAATGAAGATAAATGCTATTTATTACAATTTTTAATAGCTGAACTTAATGAGCTTTATATAAAATTAAGTAATGAAACCCTCAAACCCAAATTTCACTTTCTGGTCCATTACCCTTCTATGATTCTAAAGTATGGCCCACTTGTTCACTTTTGGAGTATGCGATTCGAGGCCAAGCATCGTGTTTCAAAAATTTCTGCTAGAGCTAACTTTAATCGACGCAATATTACTCTTAGTTTAGCCACAAAACACCAGTTGCAGTTGAACGAAATATTTGTTAAAGGCTAATTGAAATCTCTTGTTTCGTTTGGTGTCACGAAGAGAATCTCAGAATCTGACAGGAGTATTGTTATATCTGAATTAAATTTAGACCCAAGTCTATCTCTTGTATGTGTTACATGGGCAAAATTAAAAAGTATTCTTTATAAACCTGGGTCCATTCTTCTTCATAATGTGACAGGAAATTATGATGATATCGGAAATGTTACTTTGATGAATGTTAATAATATTTTCATTTATAACGAAAACAAAATTATATTTGAAACTACGTTACTATCGACGGTTGATTTTAATTTTCATTTAGATTGTTTTGAAGTTGAGCATTCTGATGTGAAGAGAAGGATATATGTGTTTCATGATCATTTATTATCATATGTACCTAATCACATTAATGTTAATCGTGATGGTAAATTATACATCACACAAAGAGCTCAATTATAGCACTAGTTGTTGACTGTTGTTGTCCTCAATATTATTTTATGTCATTTTCAAATATGAGAAAATACAATGATTGTGTTTTCTAAATAAAATCATTGTTTCTATTTCGACTGCTGCCGGGACCTTGGATCAACGTTCCATCGCTCTACCGACTGAGCTACCGCGATCCTTGGCCGACCGTCGAAATTATACTATCTTTTGATACTCGATGATACAGAGTAGTAGTAACATACAGTACCTAGAAGTAATTTCAAGTAATACTCTGGTTAGTCCACATTTTCGTTGGAATTCAATATTAACTATTATACAGAGTTATTTTTAGTCAGCACGCAAACTTTGTAGGGTGATTCTACTCATGATTATATAACTGTTAGGTACTGTGGGGCCACTTGCGAAAACGCGAAAAAAGCCAACTGTGCCATAGAAAAATGACTACCTATAATAACAGCTGATTTTTATTCGAAGTAAAAGTTGTTCATAATCATGAATAGAATCACCTGCAAAGTTTGCGTACTGACTAAAATATAAACCTGTATAACTTCTACTAGATGCCGGTGTATCGTCGCTGTAAGACGAGTATCAAGAGATAGTCTAATTTCGACGGTCGCCCAAGGACTGCAGTAGCTCAATCGGAAGAGCGATGAAATATTGATCCAAGGCCCCTGTTTCAAGCCCCGGCTGCAGTCGGAATTTTTCTAAGACCCGATGAACCCTGGTGTCAGAGTTTTTCAACCATCTACTGATACGAGTAGGCCTTTGGTATGGTTGAGTACCTAACGACTAAGTGACTATAGATAGCAACCACAACGACCACGTCACACAACCACGTCAGAGGCCAAGTAGTCATCTAGTAGGCTGTTGAAAAGCTCTTGACACCAGGGTTCATCTAGTCGTTTGTCGACTCTGTGTCCCATATATGATATGATCATGATCGGGACCGACACTAAAACTAATTCATACTATAAATTATAAGACTAAATTAGGTGTGCAATATATTTGTAGCCTTTGATAATTACATTACAATTAATAAATACATTATGATTGTAACAATTAAGGTTATTTTACTTATTATTCTATGTGGAATGTCAAGTTTGTAGTGGAAACTAATACCTTATGAGGAGTTTCAGTATGTTTTGAGGAAGGATATCTTTCTGAAACTTAATAAGGGATTAGTTTTGGCTATAGGCTGCTGAATCTGAATACTGGGTGTCAAAAAATTAGCTGCAAATATTTTAAAGGGCGCACCAGCCCATGACACTGTACAACTTTACCCAAGGAACATAGGTAGAAACATGAAAAAAAAATTGAACCTCCCATACAAAATGATTAGCCAGCCTGAATCAGTTTGTATGAGAGGGTCATTTTTTTTTTTTCATATTTCGACCTATGTTCCTTGGGAAAAGTTGTACAGTGTCATGGGCTGGTGCGCCCTTTAAAATATTTGCAGCTAATTTTTTTACACCCAGTATAATTCGAGCCTTAGTAACTCAAAAGTTATGTTGCTTTAACCTGAAAGTTCAGTTACAGATAACAATTCCATTTTGTTGCAAGTAATCTGAGGGACAGCCATTAATTTTCAACAAGTTCAGTTACAGAAAAGAAAATAGTTTGGTTAAAATAACAGTCTAGTGATGTAACTAATTACTAAACTATACTAAACCCACGGACAAAAAGTAATGTTGCTTTTAACCAGACAGTTCAGTTACACATGACAATCCTTTCTGTTGCAATTAATCTGAGGGAAAGCCATAAATTATTCAACAAGTTCATTTACGGCTTCTTTTCTTTTTTAAGTTCATTTTTAAGTTCATTTAGTTCATTTTTAAGTTCATTTTAAGTTCTTTTTTAAGTTCATTTACATAAAACGGCCTAATTTCAGCACAACATTTTTGTACGTGCTAATGCAAGAATGTAGCTATTTTTACATAACGCTTTAGCTCTTAATACACATTTTGAGTTATTTACTCTAAAACCCTTTGGTACCATGTAAATTATACATTTGTATACGAGTAATCATTTCGGTCGTGCAACTGATAACAAAACTACTAATAACAAAACTGGGTTTGTCTACTAGGAACTGTAGTCATGTAGTCACTATTTTTATGTAACAGTTTACTAAATTTTTTGTTATTTCTTACTTAAAACTTCTTTCAGTGTGGCAGTCCGGTCCGGTGAAATATTTAATCACCTACTTAGATACTAACATAATTGAAATTATTTTATAAAATATCCTCAATTAGAATTTCGTTTATTGAAGCGAGGAAGCAGGATATTAAATTTCTTGTATGTTAATAACTTGTTAATTTATGTGAGTGAAAACCGTTAATTAGTCGTGGGTGACGAGGCTCCAAAATAATAAGGAAGTTGAAGAACTTTTTCAATTATGCTATGTTAGGTACTTATTGATAATTAAGTAATTTGCGGCCTTTCTTTCGCTTACACTATATAAAAAAAAAAAACGGTAAATCGAAAAATTCAAATAATAAAAATCGTATCATGGTAAGTATCCCGTTTAATGATTATGTGTGACCCCGAAAGTACAAGCAATTTACGAATATGCCGTTATTTGTATGTCATCATTGAGTTTTGTTTATTCAATTTTTTCATTAAACTTTATTGGCAATTTTCGATATAGGTACTTATTTATAAGTATTCTCTGTACTAGGTGGAAATTATGTGCTTAACGCGTGCGGCGCTATGTATGGGAATACCTAAGGTGAAAATTCACATTTATCTAACGCATGCGTTACGGGTTCGATAAAAAAGCGCAACAACCGACGTTACGTGTGATCCATGTCTATGATTCCATGCTGTACTCACTCGTGCGTATCACCATTTGTTAGAAAAGGATAGCTGTTTCAGTACTAAAGCCTCTTATCTCGTCATGTAGCCTAACGATTGTAGCAATTGAGTTACAAAACCGTCGGGCCCAGTAAAGGCGCAACTCGGAGAATTAGCAGGTCGGCGAAGTTAAGTCATTTCCTTGAAAAACTCCCTTTGTTACGGCGCGTCACGTTCAACCTTCCACAGGAAACGGGCTTTTCTCAACACCACTATTGTGAGTGAAAATTACAAATCCAAAAAGCAACTGCTGCGAGCCTGCGACCATTTCCTTAATCCAGGATTCTGTCCGCTTGTAGATCTGTACCATTGCCATCTTAGCTACCAGACTCTTGAATCTCTTCATGTTCATCTCTTTAGTTGCGAGAGCAATAAATGCCCGCACGGTGTGCGGGAGTCTACTGCCAAAGTCGGTTACAATATTATAGTCAACTACGGGCGCATCAGCGCCGACTTTATTAGGACTAGAAGTGGTCGCCATGGCCGAAATCGGTCGAAGAGATCATCATCATCACCAAATGCTAAAAATCAATAGAAGATTTTTATCTCTTTCTTCATTTTCTTTCCGCGAAATTTTAGCCGTTTCAAGAACTTGACGCTAGACCACCTACACAATTTCCATAATATTCTTCTACATTTTATCAGATCAAACTTATCTACTGCAAACTATACTGATCTTTTGCATTCTATTAAAGTTTATTTCAAAAGCCGCGGGATATCAATGAATTTTCTCATGCTTATTTTAGGTACTCTGCGGCTGTACCATCATGTCATGACAAAACACCCACAAACAAACGAAGTTGAAACCAGGAATAGCCTTCCCAACTTTCCCCGAATATTAGCTACATTTCCTCCTAGTAATTGTGTTTATAAATATTTTTGTTTGTGCTACTGTATAATATATCTTTTATGCCTGTCCGGCGGACCCTTCTTGCGTGCCTCGATGGCGTTAGTTCGTTGTTTATATTTATTGTCCAAGTTAGAATACACATTCGTATTTTTAGTGATATAAACGTGTTCCACGCTGACGTTTTGTTTGATTTATAAAAATGTAGTGTCGTTTTATTTGCCAATTTTTAGTAAGGTTTTAGGTAGATGCTTTTTTCCCCTCGCAATTTTATTTATTGCTACTAGTTTCACAGGTTTTTTAGGTTACTTAGGTATTTGAGATAGTGACATCGGTGACACCTGAATAACAGTTATATAAAATGTGGCATGTTTTATTTTGTTTTAAATGCAGAACACAATAAATGCAGCCGCCGTAAATCTGCGGGAATACGACATTCCGGCTGCTAAGTAAAACTGTAAAATACGCGGCCATTAACACAAACAAATGGACGTAAGCCTGCTTGCAGTCGGAGCTTTTTATGCTGCGGCGTTACGTTAAATAGATTCATATCGGAATTAATAATCTAATTAAACAGATTTTCTTGAAATGATGATTTTCTTTAAGATGTTACAGAAATCTCAGGAAAAGTGCAGTCTCTTGCAGCCATTGCATTTTGTAAGAACGCCAGTTGAGTACTTTAGTACAGTTACGCTATTTTTATTTCAGTACGATGCCTGCTGCTAAAAAAAGCTGCAAAATACGCAACTGCTTGCATTCGCTGCTTTTTATGCCGCAGCTTACGTTAAGTAGATTCATATCGGGGTTGGAAGTCTAAAATGGATATTTACGATCTATCTCCGCCAGCATGTTTGATAAATTGAAAATCAGGAAAACTTTATCAATTTGTCGCATACAGTAACTCTATTTTGTAAGAACGCCAATTTAGTGCTCTAGTACATGGATAGTTATTTTTATTTCAGTAACATTCCTGCTGCTAAGAAAAGCTGTAAGATACGCTACTTGCATTCGCTGTTTTTATGCTGAGTCTTTACGATAATTAGATTTTTATAGTTTTTTTTTACTTTTTCAATAAAGAAGTACAATAATAGAGTGCAGGAAATAGATAGAATCAGGAGGACTTCATCTATTCTTCGGCCACCCACAGTTGCTTCTTTTTTGTTGGTATAAAGCCCGTTCCACACTTAGTCCGCGGATCACGGCGCGATTTCGCGGAGCGAACTTGCCGCGAATTTAACAACGACTCTACACTCGCAATGGTTCGCGGTATTTTCACAGTTACGTTCGCAACTTCAAACGAAATGGACGTGGAAGTAGCTGTTGCTGCGTCCCTAACTTTATGCGCGTTAGCGTACTATAACCATGTTCATATTAAAAATAAGACGCAAATCAAGAAATGGTGGAGAAAACGAAGGTGGTGGTCTGGTGGATGACAAGTATCTTGATAAAATTCTAAAAACTGTAGCTCCAGCTCGTTTATCCATGTTACGCTCATTTTTTTCAACAAATTCAAAACAACGGTGCAGGTCCGAACACTCGAACGACTCGAACAATTCTGACCGTCGCGGACTGCGAGTGTGGAGTCATGCACGTTCACGTCGCGTTCGCGCTTCGCGCTCCCTTTGTCGCGGGACAAAATACCGACAAAAATTGGGGAACAAGGCGCGAAACCGCGAAGAATATGCGAAACGGATCTACACTTAGCGTTCGCGCCCCTTCGCAGCTATTGCGCGCGATCCGCGGGCTAAGTGTGGAACGGGCTTAAACGTTACTTTTGTATTTCAGCCTACGCGTTATTTAAAAATATGTATATTTAATGTAAACGCAAACATACGGTCTGCTTACCCTGCAAGGCATATAGGCGTGATATATGTATGTAGTGGTAAAATATTAAATAACTCCAACATAATGTCTGTGTCCTGCTTAGTAAACTTTACGTACTTACAAACCATTCTTGTTACAAAGTAAATAGAATAGAATACTAATGAAGCGCTACAA